TGCCCCTGTCCCAGTCCTAGTGTCCCCATGTCCCTGTCCCCCACATCCCTGCCTTTGTCCCCTGTATCCATGTCCCGGTCCCCCATGTCATGGTCCCAGTCTCTCTGTCCTGGTCCTGGTCCCCTACCCTATGTCCCCAGTCCCTCCACACACCTGTCCTGGTCCCAGTGCCTTGGTCCTGGTCTCCTGTGTCCCTGTCCTGGTCCGGTCCCTGTCCTGGTCCTGGTCCTGGTCCCCCATGTCCTGGTCCCAATGCCCCTGACACAGTCCTGGTCCCCCACATCTTGCTCCTTGTCCCCAGTGTCCCTGCCCCTGTCCCAGTCCTAGTGTCCCCATGTCCCTGTCCCCCACATCCCTGCCTTTGTCCCCTGTATCCATGTCCCGGTCCCCCATGTCATGGTCCCAGTCTCTCTGTCCTGGTCCTGGTCCCCTATGTCCCTGTCCCAGTCCCTCCACACACCTGTCCTGGTCCCAGTGCCTTGGTCCTGGTCCCCTGTGTCCCTGTCCCAGTCCTTCAAGTCCCTGTCCCCGTCCCCCACGTCCTGGTCTCAGTGCCCCCATGTCCCTGTCCTGGTCCTGGTCCCCTATGTCCCTGTCCCAGTCCCTCCACACACCTGTCCTGGTCCCAGTGCCTTGGTCCTGGTCCCCTGTGTCCCTGTCCCAGTCCTTCAAGTCCCTGTCCCCGTCCCCCACGTCCTGGTCTCAGTGCCCCCATGTCCCTGTCCTGGTCCTGGTCCCCTATGTCCCTGTCCCAGTCCCTCCACACACCTGTCCTGGTCCCAGTGCCTTGGTCCTGGTCCCCTGTGTCCCTGTCCCAGTCCTTCAAGTCCCTGTCCCCGTCCCCCACGTCCTGGTCTCAGTGCCCCCATGTCCCTGTCCTGGTCCTGGTCCCCTATGTCCCTGTCCCAGTCCCTCCACACACCTGTCCTGGTCCCAGTGCCTTGGTCCTGGTCCCCTGTGTCCCTGTCCCAGTCCTTCAAGTCCCTGTCCCCGTCCCCCACGTCCTGGTCTCAGTGCCCCCATGTCCCTGTCCTGGTCCTGGTCCCCTATGTCCCTGTCCCAGTCCCTCCACACACCTGTCCTGGTCCCAGTGCCTTGGTCCTGGTCCCCTGTGTCCCTGTCCCAGTCCTTCAAGTCCCTGTCCCCGTCCCCCACGTCCTGGTCTCAGTGCCCCCATGTCCCTGTCCTGGTCCTGGTCCCCTATGTCCCTGTCCCAGTCCCTCCACACACCTGTCCTGGTCCCAGTGCCTTGGTCCTGGTCCCCTGTGTCCCTGTCCCAGTCCTTCAAGTCCCTGTCCCCGTCCCCCACGTCCTGGTCTCAGTGCCCCCATGTCCCTGTCCTGGTCCTGGTCCCCTATGTCCCTGTCCCAGTCCCTCCACACACCTGTCCTGGTCCCAGTGCCTTGGTCCTGGTCCCCTGTGTCCCTGTCCCAGTCCTTCAAGTCCCTGTCCCCGTCCCCCACGTCCTGGTCTCAGTGCCCCCATGTCCCTGTCCTGGTCCTGGTCCCCTATGTCCCTGTCCCAGTCCCTCCACACACCTGTCCTGGTCCCAGTGCCTTGGTCCTGGTCCCCTGTGTCCCTGTCCCAGTCCTTCAAGTCCCTGTCCCCGTCCCCCACGTCCTGGTCTCAGTGCCCCCATGTCCCTGTCCTGGTCCTGGTCCCCTATGTCCCTGTCCCAGTCCCTCCACACACCTGTCCTGGTCCCAGTGCCTTGGTCCTGGTCCCCTGTGTCCCTGTCCCAGTCCTTCAAGTCCCTGTCCCCGTCCCCCACGTCCTGGTCTCAGTGCCCCCATGTCCCTGTCCTGGTCCTGGTCCCCTATGTCCCTGTCCCAGTCCCTCCACACACCTGTCCTGGTCCCAGTGCCTTGGTCCTGGTCCCCTGTGTCCCTGTCCCAGTCCTTCAAGTCCCTGTCCCCGTCCCCCACGTCCTGGTCTCAGTGCCCCCATGTCCCTGTCCTGGTCCTGGTCCCCTATGTCCCTGTCCCAGTCCCTCCACACACCTGTCCTGGTCCCAGTGCCTTGGTCCTGGTCCCCTGTGTCCCTGTCCCAGTCCTTCAAGTCCCTGTCCCCGTCCCCCACGTCCTGGTCTCAGTGCCCCCATGTCCCTGTCCTGGTCCTGGTCCCCTATGTCCCTGTCCCAGTCCCTCCACACACCTGTCCTGGTCCCAGTGCCTTGGTCCTGGTCCCCTGTGTCCCTGTCCCAGTCCTTCAAGTCCCTGTCCCCGTCCCCCACGTCCTGGTCTCAGTGCCCCCATGTCCCTGTCCTGGTCCTGGTCCCCTATGTCCCTGTCCCAGTCCCTCCACACACCTGTCCTGGTCCCAGTGCCTTGGTCCTGGTCCCCTGTGTCCCTGTCCCAGTCCTTCAAGTCCCTGTCCCCGTCCCCCACGTCCTGGTCTCAGTGCCCCCATGTCCCTGTCCTGGTCCTGGTCCCCTATGTCCCTGTCCCAGTCCCTCCACACACCTGTCCTGGTCCCAGTGCCTTGGTCCTGGTCCCCTGTGTCCCTGTCCCAGTCCTTCAAGTCCCTGTCCCCGTCCCCCACGTCCTGGTCTCAGTGCCCCCATGTCCCTGTCCTGGTCCTGGTCCCCTATGTCCCTGTCCCAGTCCCTCCACACACCTGTCCTGGTCCCAGTGCCTTGGTCCTGGTCCCCTGTGTCCCTGTCCCAGTCCTTCAAGTCCCTGTCCCCGTCCCCCACGTCCTGGTCTCAGTGCCCCCATGTCCCTGTCCTGGTCCTGGTCCCCTATGTCCCTGTCCCAGTCCCTCCACACACCTGTCCTGGTCCCAGTGCCTTGGTCCTGGTCCCCTGTGTCCCTGTCCCAGTCCTTCAAGTCCCTGTCCCCGTCCCCCACGTCCTGGTCTCAGTGCCCCCATGTCCCTGTCCTGGTCCTGGTCCCCTATGTCCCTGTCCCAGTCCCTCCACACACCTGTCCTGGTCCCAGTGCCTTGGTCCTGGTCCCCTGTGTCCCTGTCCCAGTCCTTCAAGTCCCTGTCCCCGTCCCCCACGTCCTGGTCTCAGTGCCCCCATGTCCCTGTCCTGGTCCTGGTCCCCTATGTCCCTGTCCCAGTCCCTCCACACACCTGTCCTGGTCCCAGTGCCTTGGTCCTGGTCCCCTGTGTCCCTGTCCCAGTCCTTCAAGTCCCTGTCCCCGTCCCCCACGTCCTGGTCTCAGTGCCCCCATGTCCCTGTCCTGGTCCTGGTCCCCTATGTCCCTGTCCCAGTCCCTCCACACACCTGTCCTGGTCCCAGTGCCTTGGTCCTGGTCCCCTGTGTCCCTGTCCCAGTCCTTCAAGTCCCTGGTGTCCAGCAGCCACAGGGTGCCCTGTTGCGGGGGGTCTGGGTGGGTGGGTGGCCCAGGAGACACGGGTTGGGGTGTCAGGGTAGCCCCAAGGTGCCCAGTTTGGGGTGGCCACATAGCTCCAGGGTGCCCATTTTGGGGTGGCCCCTGTGTGCCCAGTTTGGGGTGGCCACATGGCTCCGGGGTGCCCAGTTTAGGGTGGCCACATGGATCCCAGGTGTGCAGTTTGGGGTGACCACATGGCCCCAGGGTGCCCAGTTTGGGGTAGCCCCAGTGTGCCAAGTTTGGGTGGCCACATGGCTCTGGGGCACCCAGTTTGGGGTGGCCACATGGCCCCAGGGTGCCCAGCTGGGAGTGGCCCCAGGGTGCCCAGTTTGGGGTGGCCACATGACTCCGGGATGCCCAGTTTGGGGTGACCACATGGCCCCGAGGTGCCCAGTCTGGGCTGGCCCCAGCGCGCCCAGTTCAGGTGGCACCGTGGCGGGGGGGTGGGTGCCGGGAGAGGGGAGCGCGGCCCCCGGCGGGGGGCTGAGCCCGTTCCCCAGCGAGCCCCGCGCCCCCCCGCCGTGCCACTGCCCCTGGGGACGCCGGGGCGCAGTAGGGTCCCCGAGGCGGGGGAAGCGCTGGGTGAGCTTTATTGCCGCTGCAGTGGCCGCAGTCGTACAAAGCGCGAGCGAGGCTTCACGCCGGGAAGGCGCAGGGCGTCGGCCATCGGCGTCACCCCAAAACCCGCTTTGGGGGCGGGCGGCGTCCCTGCCCGGCCCCGTGCCCACGTGTGGAGGTGCGGG